ACAAAGCTGCTGCCAGCCCAACTGCTAGTAGTTTGTCTCAGAGAAATTCTGATATCAATGTACTGAGGATGGAAAATCCCCAGTGATCATTTTCGAAGTAATACTTACTTATGCATGCATGTGCATCTTGGTGTTTACCTTGAGGCAAGATGTTGAACAGCAACAGAACTCGTGTTTGCTCTTGGTTGTTGTCTGAAGCAAGTCCCAAAGCAGAGGGCAGCAGCAACATTTTGTCTGACTCCGTGGGACGTATTTCTATCTGGAGATACCCATTTGTAAAATCTGTGGCTGGAGTGAAGATACAAGTTGGAGAGTGTTGAGTCAGAAACAACAAGGTAGACACAAGAGGAGAAGACACCACAATACAAGAACATGAGGAATAACTAAAGAAATTACCTTGGCATGGGGAAACAAGGGGGTTAAAAGTAAAAACTATTCAAAAATTTAGCATAAGGAAGGAAAGTGTGGGTGGGTGAACACAGTGACGTTTGAGAAGAAACGAATGAAAAATAGTAAGTTGTGCAGCAAGTTACACAGTTTTTCTACATTCTGTACAACAGCAGTTCTAAATGTTGTGGAATAGCAATAAGAGGCATTTTTATTGAATGCATAGTGAGTTACAGTGTAATATGGATACATCTGATTTTGCTGTTTTGTAATATTTTAAAAAGGAAAAGGGTGGAGAAAGCGTGTCCTTTTCTGACATTGCTACACTGTCGGATCCGCTACAGATAGGTGTTACTGTGTAATAGTCCACTTGTTTTTGTTTAGGCTGGAGTTACAGCTTGTGCCTGCTGTCTATCTGGGGAAGAATTCCTGGGGGGTTTTGGGGCATGGGATAAAACAATGACTTGTTACTAATAACATTTACTTAATCAGTAGATAATTATTGTTCCAGCCATTCTTGGCTTTATTTTTCCTTCCCCTACATCCACATCTCCTTAACCCTTCATCCTCCATGTGACAGAATAATTTCTAAAATACTCATGGCCTTAAAGTGTTGTTCTTTTTTTTCCATCTGATACTGTGATCTGTTGCAGAGTGGGAACAGTTGATTCAGGATGAGTAGAAAAGAGCATCAGTCTCTGGAATATCTCATTTTCTTCCATGAGATAGCTCTGCCCTTCTGGAAAAGGGATTTTTTTGAAATAAAACAGTAGATTTTGTAATCTTCAGACGCCTACTAGGAAATTAAATGACAGGGCATGTAAGATGCCAGTGTGTCAGCACATAGATTGTATTGCTTTTATCAGGCTGCCATGCTACAAGATGGGGTGTATTGTAGAATTTGTGCATTTTTTAAAAATCAGTTTTTATGACTGATGCAATCATGTTGTATACTGGTATAATAGTCCTCATGTTTTGGATTAGACAACCTGCAGCAGTTGACTACTAAAGAACCAAAGTATATCTGTCTCAGAAATTATTTGTCTGTTATTAAAGGCTGGACCCTTGTCGTTTATGTTGCTGCTTACTATCAATATGCTAGAGTCCCTTCAAAAACAAAGCTGATGGCAGCAGTGAAGTCCTAGCTGGATTTCTTTTTGTTCAGTCTCATACTGTGGGAAGAGAATGTAGTATTTATTTGTTTTTTAGGTATTTCCTGTTTATAACTATTTTCTTGCTGGTTTTAATAATATATTATTTTTATATATTTTATATATCTTAATATTTCTTTTTTTTTTTTTAGCTACTTTCTTGTTATTATTTTCTTCTTAAATTCTTACTGTTTTCCTGGTTTTGCATATTTCTTGTTCAGAGTAGGCATGATGTCTTTTCAAGATCCTGAGAAAGACATGACCATTCTTGGGTATATTCACAAGTAAACAGTTGATACTGCAGAACCTATTAAAGAGGGAAAATGCAGTTAATTTTGAAGGATGTTTATCTTAAAGTCTAGGACATCAGTGTATGTTGCTGTGAACTGCTGGGCTGAGGTGAAAGGGAAGATTAAAGAGGAAGTGGAGTTTTATTAATAGACTCCTAGATGACAATGGCTTCACAGTGTGCACCGGTTGACTTTTGCTATGGTTGTAAGAGATGAAAGAGCACTTGAGACAAGAAATACATAAGAGAAAGCTGTATAAGTGAATAATAAATGAAGCACTAGACGTTCTGTTATCATTTTATGTTTATTTCCTTCTCTCCATCATGCACTTAATTAAAATTTTAAAGTGTTTGCCTAATTTTTTTTTTCCAGAAACATTTAAATTGAAAGAGATTAAATTGCCTGATAATTTGGGGAAATTATGAGTAGTTTTTTGATGCTGTTGTAAATATTTGACCTAATTACAGATAATGACTGTAAAAGGTTTGTTTGTATTTATATTCAGGAGCTTTCTTGAACCAAGGAATAGAAACATTGCATAGCCTCTTAAAATTGTCATGTCAAAGTAGTTGTCTTGGATTTCAAAAACATTTGGGTTGGTTTTCTGATTTTGTTTGTTTGTTTGTTTGTTTTTTTGTGAAAACTGTTTTAGTAGAACATTGCATAAGGAGCAGGAAATATATTTGGCTTTACTCAACTATCAAATAGCGAGTGGTCTGTTTGCATATCACCTGAAACTCACTAAAACTTTTGTGCTTACTTAGCAGAACAAGCTGGGTGGTTCTTGGTTTTCTTTGAAAAACAGACAAAATTTCTGACTTCAGACTGTCATTATCATTTGATTAAAAATATAATTTTAAAGCTTTTTATATTTACTCTTAAGTGGTGTTATGCCTTACCGTGGGCAAGTATTTAGTTAGGAGACATGTCTTCTCCCCCAAATGTGAAGATCTGCTGTTCAGCTTCATTGCGACTTTAATACTCAGTGTGTTATGTTAACTTCAAAGACTGAAGCTTTAAGTTCTAATATATTACCTTCCTTCTACTTAAAATATCTGTTTCACCACTTTCATAAAAGTAGAGTACAAATAACAGGTATTGTCAGATTAAGATGTCAGAGGAGTAAAATAATTTTGAGGGACTCTAAACCCAAGTTTTTTTCCAGATCTCACTTTAAAGCAGATAGTTGTGGAATTTGTTATAACTAGTTCTATGAAAAAAAAATCACAAATAATAAAAGGGTATGGAAAATAGTGTTATCTTTATAAAGTGTGTATGGAAAGTAAAGGAAGTGGGGGGATACTGAAAAGCAATGGATATAATTTGTGTGTATTTTTTGGATCTGGTCACTCTTAGAAAGCTAATCACAGGATAAACAGGGTAGCAGAATTGAGCAATGGTTGCAGACAATAAGAATTAATAGCTTAGGAAGTGTTGAAGAGCTTAACGGCAGTGTGAGCTGTGCGCTCTGAGTAGCTCTGGTACACACACGCAGTCACTGTAACGGAAGAAGGAGCGCGCAGTGACCTGGCAAATTCTGCTGAGAAAATGAATGTGTTTTTTTTTCTTTCAAGTCATGGGACAATTTCAGGATGCTTCCCAAGGGTTGCAATTGCTAATTAATTGAGCAGCACTCAGCACAGATAGTAATTTCTTTGAGACAGTTGCTAAGTACTGCACTCCATGAGAAGTGGCTTAGAGCAGCCAAACATGCTACCAAGTTGGATACATGATGTATTTGTGGGGATGTGCAGGAGAAATGGAAGTAAAATATGGGTATGTCAGTAAAGATGTTTTGCAAGGAGCAATCAAAGGTTTAAAGGAATTTTTTTTTAAAAAAGCTATGCTAAGCAAAATTACTAAGTATGTGCTCACTAAAGACAGTACCACACTTCCACATGATTACATTTGACACATAATCAATACAGCTTGGTTCTAGTTAGCTTTGCAAACTGCATCTCAGGTAGATGTCAGGCATTCTTCAGAAAGGTGTGATAATGACTGTTTTCAGTACAGAAGACCAAAAGCAGCTTGCACATCTCTTGAACTGACAGAAGTCTTTATTGCTGAGAACAGAATTTGATTTTGATTGTGGCTTTGCATGAGAGAGGAAAGTAGCAGAATATACATGAATACAAAATACAATATGTACTGTAGGTCAATTGGCTGCTGCTTCTTTGCAAAGCAGGAAGAGAACAGTTAAAGTGAGGCAATAAATTGACTTAGTGATTCAGAAGCTGGTTGTAAGGTGGCTCTAGTACACCAAAGCAGGTTGTGCTTTGGAGCTTTGGTTAGGTACAAATTTTATTTGACATACTTCTGACTATTTTGCAAAGTTAAAAGAAATCTTATTTCTATTTAATGACTGGGATGTAGAGAAATATTCAAATACTGTATTATTTGTGTATGTATAAATGAAAGAATATTTGCCCATGGTAAATTTGAATAGAGGTTTGATAATTGTTTACAGGCTTATGAAAGTCACTTTCCAGAGTCAATTTTAACTTCAATAGGCATGTTACTAAATGGAAAAGGCATTCTTTTAACTGTTTCGTCATAGCTTTTCCAGTATTGCTGTTATAGGAGGGGTTTCATTTGGCATGCCAAACTTTTGGGATGTTAAATGTGGCTTTAAAAAGAGGCTTTTTTTTAGTCCCAAAATAGCTAACCAGGTTTACTTTTGTGCTAACAATTGTATTTTGTTTTGATAATGCATCTTTCTAACAATTCAGCTGATGTTCCATAGAATATGTATCAAAGGGTCATTTCAAAAGTTCTGTTTGAAAGAAATAAACTGAGGATTAAAATAAAGCATGTTTGACTATTGAAGTTGCCACTTAGAACATCTTGTTCACTTCTGTAGTAGATGATGTTCTTTGTTTAGTCAGCCTTTTATTTCCAAAGCTATTCCTAAAGACCATTGTATCAATAATAATAGCTTTATTCACAAATTATAAATTATTTTAAGCAATAGCCATCAACTTGCAATTGGGAAAAGTTCCATAACAGGTGTTTAAGGCATCACCGCGATGCAATTAACAACAATTCAGCTTGTTGATGCAATTTCTTTCCCATTTCAGCCGTAATTTTCTCATAAGGTTTGTATTACATCTATATTAAATATTAATCTTTTAAGATACCTCAACTCATATGCTGTTGTTTCTTTTCCCAGATTATTTCCCTCAGTAAGGGACAATAAGAATGAATGGACATATATCAAACACCCCTCCTGGTGGATATGGAAGTTATTTTCCTCAAATGAAGTAAGGTTAATTTTCCTTTTATGGACAAAAAAATAGTGGTGTATTTTCTTCTTTACGCTTTTGTTTCAGATAGAGCAATGATTATGAGATCCCACTAGAATAATACAAAGGCAGTTTCTGTAAAAGAATATGCAGTTTCTAAATCATGTAAACCAAACTGGCAGATATTGTCTGACTGATTTTTGTGTTAATGTAAGGTTAAAGCTGTATTACTGAATGCAATCAACTGGAATAGAAAAATAAATTCCTGTAGCCATAACATACTTATATTACTCAGAGAGGTCTTCATATGTCTGAGATGTTTAAGGTTAGTTCTGAGTGAATGTATTTTTATGCATAAATGATGAGGCTGCCCTTTCCATCTGTGAGAAAATACTGTTTCCCAGTAAGCAGAGCTGAGCAACTGTTACCCGAAAGTGTTACTTTGCCTGAGATAAGAGGATGCTCCCTCTGTCAGGGGCATGGCATTAGGCTCATTTGCAGCACTAATGGGAAATGATCTAATCTGATGCCAAAGAACCTGTATGGAGCAGGGCATCTGTGCTGTCATCTGCTTCTCATATTGTTGTCCCTTTAAAGTGAGTTTGTATATGGCTCATTCTTGTTTTGTTACACTAGAAGGAAGTTGTTTTGCCTCTTCATTTGTTGTAGGCAATGATAGTCCTTTTTAATTCTTTTTTGAAAAGCTGTTAAAATGGTTAATAAGAATTAACACTTGTGTATGCAGGAAAAAATCGTCAAATCCTACCAAGTCTTTGGCATAGTATTTATAATTATGATTATTATTAAGTGATTTTGATTACTTACATTATGGTAATGTGTATACCACAACTCCACTGTGCGTGGTGTTGTATTAACACAACATAAAATAAGGGCTTCCAGCCTAAGTGAAACATGCTTCATTATATTCGTGGTGAGGAACAAATATCCAGTATCATTACCCTCTGTTAGTAATGTAGGTATGTGTAGTCCTACATAAGGGGAGGGTTTTTTCCAATGCCTGTTTCTGTGTGTCAAATACATCTATATAGAAGCTAAGCAGAAATGTTTTCTTCTAGTGGCTATGGTTCCCCAACATTTGCTCAAGCAGAGAGGGAGCAGAATTCAAGAACAAGTGCAAAAGCTCTTTATGGTAAGACGGAATAGTCTCTAAACTTTTATGTTGTTGTTTAAATATTGATAGTGATGTTATGGTGAAAATATTTTATGCATATAAATGTGAAAATGTATATACATATACATGGGTGTGTATATCAACAAAATTAACTAACAAAGAGATTTTTATTCCTACTAAAATGAACTAGGTTATCTAGAAAATATTTTTATGGTTTACTAAGCAGAGAACTCCCACCTGCAATTTTTTTAAGGCAGCAATGTATAAAAAGCATTTATCACAAAACTGAGTGATCCTATAGCTAAGGTATGCACCAGGGAGAAGGCATTCAAGGGTCTAGCTGAGCTATGGGTTTGATTCATGACGTATGTCTCCCCCTGCCTCCCCAGTTTGATTCCCTGCTAGCAGAAGAGGAATTTGCAGTATGATTCTTGCTTGACACAAGGATTTAATGGAAATTTAGATTTGATGTAATGGATTTGGAGTCCTATTTGGTCTGTCAACAGGCTTTGTGACTGTCGAATGTGGTGTTACTTACAAATGTCTAAACGTTGTTGCACTTACTAACTACAAATGCTAGTATTTGTCTTGTCTGTAAAGGCTATGCTGTAGCCCATGGCCAAATCACTGGGAAAGCAGAATGTGGTCATGTTCCTTGCCAGCCACATTGCACTGTTTCCCGTTTGTCCACCTCCACTGTGAATACATCCTGCTGATAGCTGTGCTGATAATTGAAATATAGGCAGCAATGAGACTGAGAGATGTTCTGCTGTGTAAATCTGTGCCTGTTGTCAAATGCTCTTTGGAAAGTCAGTACAATTGATGAGACTGGAAGAATGCGGTTTGCAGCAAGAAGCCAGTCCTGTGCAGGACTCCTCACACCTCAGCCTGCTCTCCCTTGTTGCATCTACCACCTCTTCTGCAGGTTAACAAACTGGAAAGATCAAAGAGCAGTGGCTAATAACTACAACATCCCTAGTAGTAACTAATCTTTTCTCCCTACTATTTTGCGTGGGTTGATGGCTGGGAGTGGCCTTGGAAGTTAGGGGAGTGATGGCACGATGCTTTGTGGCATTAGAACAGCATTAATGTTCCTTGAAGGTTACTGTCCTTGAGTTTGGTTACTCACCTGTGAGCACATAAGAACTTTGTTCTATTGGTTGCCTTGTTGGCTTTCAAACTGCTTTGAAATTCGTGAGGCTAAAAGCCCACAAAGGAGATTGGAGGTCTCCAATCTTTGTATCCTCTAAAAAGAGAAGTGGTGTGGAAAAGCTGACGTGGTTTGGTGACTGAAGGCACTAGATTAGTGTGAAGGTCTGCTTATAGAAAAATCAGCAGAGACAGAAGTAGAAATCATTTGAAACGTTTGTCATTTAGAAATCGTATTAGATGTGAATCATTCTAGGTTTAAATTTATCTCTTTTTTTTTTTTTTGTGGTATGCTACAAAGTCAGTCATTTGACATAGTATTAAAAGCAGGAACTGCAATTGAGGAAAACTCAGAAGTGATCGTTTTAAACAGTGATTTCTCCATCTTATATTGGTTAACTCAACAAACTGATTGTATGTGCTGACAGAAATAGTAGGTGGTAACAGAAACCAGCAAGAGACATTGCAGAAAATTTTTTTTTTTTTTTTTTTTTTTTTTTTTTTTGAGATAGTATGAGAGCCTTGCGCTTTTCTTTTTCATCATCATCATAGTTCAAGAGTACCTGGTTTGAACAGTGTGGCAGCATCAGTGTTGTAACTATGTCCTTTAATCTTCGTGGTCTTCTAAAATAATACCTCTCTGAGCTTTTGCATATTGAACATGTGATGGGATAGTCATATATCAGTAGAAGAAGGAGACAAGTGAGTAAATTTGAAGTATGTAATAGTAAACAGCATGTTACTTTAAAAATACTTAATTGAATTCAGGTGCTAATTGAAAATGCTTACCATAACTAATGTGTGGTGGCTCTTGTAAAATGAATTGTTGGTCTTGGTTTACTTCCATTGCTTGTAGATATATCACAAAACTGCAGCTGCAGTTTCCAGGAACTGAATGAAGTAGAAGATTCAATTATCCTGGAGCTCCGAATGAGGATGTATTGGTGCAGCTTTTAGAGAGGATTTTGCACATTTTACTGCTGCTTCTGTTTTCTGTGCATAAGGCTGTCAGTATCACCAAATGTATGAACTGGAGAAAACAAGACAAACACCTAAAACCTTTCTTAAATTCAGAGTAATTATGTTTTTTTAATATTAGCAACTGTGTTACCATGCTGCTGCATCCCACGTGTCTTTTTGTGATGTTAGGGATTTTTATGCCTGCTGTCCCAAGAGGGGTGGGAAACAGTTTATACCACTGGAATTGTTAAAGCAGTGGATACTACTAGAATTGTTAAAATCTGTTAAATATACTTATTCTAAAATATTTTTATAATTGATTTGTAATTAATAACTATAGTATTTTATTTGAGATCCATGAGAGTGAAAGCCTACAAAGCAGATTGGTGGTGTCTTAGCTTGCTTTTTATATTTTAAATTATGTACACATATATTAAGTGTACATATTTAATTTGTGTAAATACATATTGCTCATGTATTTAATAGATTCATTTATAATATATAGGGAAAAAAACCCCATATATATATATATATATATATATATATATATATATAATTTAACTGTAAAAGTAAAATGGACCACGTTTTTTTGTTTTGATAAAATGTGACCACATAATGTTAGCAGCAAACTTTGTCCATGACAAACTTCCTTTTCTTGGAAGACTTGTGAATGCCTAAAGCACCTATCCATGGGTATCAACAAGGGAAGAAGATACTCAATTTCTTCCAAGCTTAGTAAGGACTGAAAAATTATTAATAATAATAATAATAACAACGTGTATATGTGTGTGTATACACACACATATGTAAATGTCATGGCATGAAGTTTATCTCTCAAGTCCCAGTGCTGAGGTGATTCATAATTGTTCAGTCCTTGGTCATCAGGCAGAAGGTTGGCCGCAGTGCCAGTGGGAAAGAAGACTTTGAGCTTTATTGGTGTTACAGATAGTTCGGTTAAAAACTAGATTGGAGCCATCACTATCTCTGATGTGGTGATAGCAAAAACTTCCTTGCAACTACCTTTTTTTTTTTCCCCTGTGTCAAATAATCACTTTGTTTCCACTCATTTTCTTCCTGAAATGAACTGTTTTCTATTTGCATGATCTCTCACAGAATTGGGAGGGAAGATGCCCTCTATGCATTCTTACGGGGTTTATTTAATCATTTACTTCTTGATCTTTCAATCTGAAATGGGTTTTGGCTCACACCATCATCTGTTGTTCTAGCGTTAGCTTCTCCATCTGTCTTCTGCAGCTCTGCTTGTGGGGAGACGTGCAGTGTCAGTCGGCACCGATAGCCAGGGCTGTGCTGGGTGTTTGCCAGCAATTGACACAGTGTGGAGCAACCACATTTCCCAGGAGGAGTGAAGCTAGTGGTTTGCTCCAAATTGGTACATTATTATATGACACAAAATTGACAGATGTTACTAAAATTGTCTTCACACCGCACATACTTCACACCTTCACATATGACACTAGAAAAGACTTAAGTGTTTTATACATTGTGTTTATACTTTTCATGGCTGTGATTAGGTGCTAGCAGTGAAATTGCATATGTGTTTTTGCAGTGCTCAAATACCTCATTCAGAGCAAGAACTGTAGTGTAATAAATTCAAGGAAATCACGAGCAGATCATAAACTAGGTAAATGAGTCCATTAAGAGAAACCATCCGTGTAACATGCTTATATTATTTGATACTCAAATGAATTAAATTGTCGATTGACTCCTAAACAGTACACTTTCTTTGATAGCTAGTTCCACATAGCCATCGAGGGAAGCTTGTGGTATAAATCTCTGAAAGTGATAGTGTTTGCTTCTCTGAAGATGGTATTTGTTTTGACCTTTCTCCCCAGATGCATAAGTCACATCTCCTGCACTTTGCTCTCAGTCTCAAGCTGAGTTTTCCCAGCTGCTGCAATACCTACTTAAAGGGGTGTCAGCAATCAGTCCAAACCATAAATGCATGGTAGTAAATGAAGTATTGGGATTTTCTGCTTGATGATCTGTAGTAATCATTTATACTGTCACTCCAGGATTCTTGGGACAACTTGTCAGGAAGACTCAATCCATGTCCACATGGATTGCCATCAGATTTCAGAGCTTTGTCTCTTTGTACACTGCACAGACATTTTCCAGTTTGGCTATGGAAGGGGAAGATAGGATCCACCATTACCCTTCTTTGTGTTATCATGACCATAGCATTGATACCATTTATTACATCTGTTCTGTGCAATTATTTGTAAGACATTGGTGGAATTCTAGGCATTAAGATTCCTCATTCCTGTTTTAGGCTTTTAGGAACTGAAAATTTGTTGTGTCTAAAGGTATCATAGCCCTAACCAGCACCTTCCGTGATTCAGGTCATCTGTTAAGACCCAGCCTGAGATCTTGTGCTGCTGGTAAGAATCTTCTCTACCTAGATAAAGAATTAGGTTGAAATGTGATACGTTTCTCTGTGTAGTCTTCTGGACAGTTGCACAGAGCCAGGCTATGGTAGAGTTTATTAAACAGCTTTCTAAAATTCACCGTATTGCTGCACCCTTTTCCAGTTAGAAAATGGGTGAGACCTGACTATGTCAGGTTCTGTTTGTAGCTCTGCCTCAATGGACCTTGGGCAATGCTGGTGTTTTTGTCTGAAATTGTGGAATAGTTACCTTTCCAGAGTCCTTCAGAGAAGTAATTGGGGAGAGCACAGAGTTCTTAGTGCAGTGAGTGAGGGCAATGAAAAGAATGGGCAACTTCAATCTTGAGTCCTGTCTGTCTGTGTCATGTACTGTTTAGTGGTATTTTTTACTTGACTAAAGCTCTTTTGTCAAGAGGTGATTTTCTGTTTTCTGGTGTTTTGGATGCTTCCAAAACGGGTATGAAATCAATACCTTTTAACTCATACTGAAACCAGAAAAAGGGTCCATTCCTGATGATTGGTGAATTCAGTAAGTTCACAAAGACATGAATAGAAGTAGCATCTGTCCATATCAGAGAACAGGAAGAGTATTAGTTTCTGTGGATCAGTGTTTCTGCCTGTGGGTTGCATTTGCAGTAGATTGTGATAAAGTATTTAAGTTTAGTGTTTTCTGCCATGATCCTTTTTTGGTTTTATTTTTTTCCTTTATCCGAGGGAAAATAATTCAGGTAAATTGTGTAGAGATTATCAGCAAGGTTTGAGCTAATTGCAGTATTAAGACTGCAGTGTGTTTTACATGTGGGATGGAAGAGGTGTGGTAATTAGAGTAAATAGAAAAAAAAACTCAATGGTTTTGTTAGTTTTATTCATCCTTTGATAGTTTTATACATCCTATTTGGAAGTCTCTGTTGTAAAATTTCACTTTAGCGTCAATAACTCTTTGTGCATGAAGGGACCTGTGAGAGTCTGAGATTGATTGGGAGGATTAGGAGAGTGAAGTAGAGCATACAAAACACTTTTTTGTTGTTTGTTTTTGTTTTGTTTTGTTTTTAAAATGTTGGGGATTGACCCCAACCAAGAACTAAGGACCTCCTCAATTGCATGCTCATTCCCCCTGTCTCCTCCCTGCAGTGGATAGGAGAGGGAATTGGAAGAGCAAAAGAAAGAAGAAAATGATGGCTCAAGATAGACAGCTTAATAAGAGAAAGAAAGAGTAGGGAGGAAAAAAACCCCGAGTAATGCAAAGGCAGTCTCTCACCATCTCCCACAGCAGACCAGTGCCCAGACAGTGTCTGAGGAAGTGCTACTTTGGAAAGACTACCTGCCAGTTGTATTGTTGAGCATCACATTATACAGTATGGAATATCCCTTTGGTCAGCTGGAGTCAGCTGTCACCACTGTGTCTCACTCCAACCTCTTGTGCACCCCCAGCCTACTTGCTGGGGCAGCAGAGTGAGAAATAGAGAAGGGCTTGGCACTGTTCAGCAACTGCTAAAACATTCCGATGTTATCAACACTGTTTTGGTCACAAATCCAAAACACAGCACATTACAGACTGATGTGAAGAAAATTAACTCCATTCCCGCCAGACCCAGTACATACAGTAATTCAGCAAATTCTTTTACTCATTTTCAATAGTAGGGTGTGAGTTATTTGCATTTAAACATCATGCAAGAAATCAAATGGCATTTTCAGGGGTTTTGTAAAAGCAGTTAGATTAATATTGATGAATAATCATCAGTCACTCTGATATGTGAAAGAGTTGAGGAGATGAAAGCTGCATTTCCAGAAGAATGGAAATGGGCAGCTCTAGGCAAAGAAGAAAAATAAGGAGCTGTATATAGATGAAAAAGACTATGAGAGTCATATGCTCAGATATATCTGACTTGGAAACAGGGAAGCGTTTGTAGAAAGAGGCGGCAGATTTTTGTGTCATGGTAGAGAAGGATACAGAACAGGCTTATATCAAGGCAGTCGACCACCTCAGCAGAAGGGGATGTAAAAGGGTTTGTGTCCTCCTTTCGAAGGGCAAGGTGAGAACTCACACACACTCTCTCTCTCTCTCTCTCTCTCTCTCTCTCTCTCTCTCTCTCTCTCTATGTTCATGTTATCATGGGGGGGATTTTATTCATTCTTCCTTCAGTGCAGTTTATGCCAGGCAGCCAAGAAAACCATCTCTCAGGGATCCTGGGTGATTAGCAGCTGGGTTGACCATGTATGGGAAAAGAGACCCACTTTCTAACTAGTTAATTGTAAAAAGTTGAAAAACAAAGCTTGAGGAGTAACCCTTCCAGAAGCAGTGGAAGAAATTTGCCTGATGCTAGGGTATGTATTAGAAGATGTATTTTGAAGGGTGAATAATTTCAGGATGGAGCCATAAGTATGTACTTCCAGCTCCTTTACAGCAGTGTTGACAGCTGCTATAGGCTACTTCTTTGCTCACCCAAAACCATGTAAAAGTTGCAGCACTGAGCAGTAATTAAGAGCTTGTGAGGTATGCTCTCTTCCTTTTTTGGTTTGGTCTGTAATTGCAGAAAGATTCTGGAAGTTTCCCCAGTTTTAGTTTGCATACTTTACTGCAGAGTTTGGATTGCATCGCTTTCTTGGACTCCCAGAAAAAGGAGTCTCTCAAGTCTGCATAAGTGACGTACATTACACGGGGTTTTTTACTAGAATGGCCTATAAGATATCAGGAAACAGTGGTCAGTGCCCCAAGCCTGTCAGTGTTTAAGAGGCATTTGGACAATGTCCTTAATAACATGCTTTCACTTTTGGTCAACACTGAAGTGGTCAAGCAGTTGGACTAGATGATAGTTGTAGGTCCCTTCCTACTGAAATATTCTGTTCTAAATGATAACTTTGATCTCTTCACAGGTTCTAATAATCACTCTAGCTGCAGTAAAGAAATAGTTAAATAGGAATTGTTGCTGAACTCAATATGGACTGTCAGTTGTTGTGGTGACCACACTTTTTGTTTATTAACACAAACATTGGATTGACACCTGCTAACTGGAAATTTTATTGAAGTTCTTGTTACTATTCTTTGTAATTAAAAATACAGAACTGGAGGGGCTCTCCTTGGGTCTCAAGCGTAGGGAAGCACAGATTTTTATTAGCATTCAGAAAGCTCTCTCTCTTTTATAAAAACACCGTTGTTTTCAGCATGACAGTGTGTTGAAAACCTTCCATCATGTCTATTGTGAGTGTTGTGCTGCTCTGTGGAAGAGAATGTGTCCATCAGTGCTATGGATGGTTTTGGCTACCCTGTCTTAACACAGGACAAAATCTTTGAAGCAGAGCAATGAATCTCTTGCAAAACTTACTCTACTTTTTAATTTCTTTGGAGCCTCTACACACGGCAGGATTTCTTTGTTCATTTAAAACGACTACAACTGTTATTGCTTGCACGTCTTGTAAATCTTACAGTGGATATAAAATTTCTTATCCTTCTTTTATTTGATATCATTAAAAGTAATATTTTTGTTCACCTCTGAGAAGATAATAACAGTCAAAACTGAATATTTGATGCATTGTTAATTGAAACAAGTGACTTGGGTTTTTTTAAAAGTATGTATTCTTTCTTACTGGACAGCATTTAACTATCATTTACAGTCTATAACAGAAGAATATTAGCTGATCCCTTCGGAGGTGCAAATAATTCTGTGGGGTTAAACTAGATACTGCTTTTTAATTCCCTTGTTTTGTTAGGAACAGATGGACTTTACTTCTTCAGATCATCATCCAAACAAAAAAAGAAAGGTAGCAAATCAGACAGTACTGCTTTACTGACTGTTTTGTTGGAGTGTGCTATCTATGTGTATCTATTGTGGTTAAAAAGAAAATCAACAAAAAAAATACTTTAACATGCGTCAAAAGCAGAAATAGTAGTTATAGTTGGAATCAATGCAAATCCTCTATCCAGGGATTTCAGAATGCTTGATAATGAAAGACATCTATTTTGCAATATTCATGCACCTCGTTCAAAATTCTGATAATCCATGGTGGTTTTGAATTTGGCTGATTGCACTGCACACTTCTCTTGCTAAAGCAAGCTGAGTAGCTGCTGTACAGGAGCAGCATGGCTCTGTTGCATGAGCAATGTTTGTCATCATGGGAGGGGGGCTTCATGCCAGAGAGGGATTTCAGAAACTGTGTTGTCCTTCATGAAAGTCACCGAGAACTGGAGACATAATGGTGTGGTTATAAAAGGTAACAAATAATTCTAAAAGTGACACCTGAAAATGAGGGCACTGCTGTATTTGTCCGCACCTGAAATTCCTGTATGAAGGAACCCTGAGCACGGAAGAGACTTCTACAGTGTGGCTTTTATGGTGTCTTCACTGCAGATCTCTCTGTGTCACAGATCATGTGCTTGGTAGCATTTTTTTATTTTTCAGAAAGTAACTTAACTTTCCCATCAACAGAATCACACACTTCTATTTTACCTCCAAGTATGATGAAACTGATGTATTTTGTATATACATCAGGTACCTTCCTTCTGAACAAAATCAAACCACCTATTTTATTTGAAGACCAGAAATCAAGTTACTTAATGAAATGGACAGAAAAGATTGTCTACTTGCACCTGTCAGCCACATCATCTAGTGACTTTCTTCCTTAGACAAAGCTCCTGGTGTTCCACATCAGGCACTTCAGTAGTTATAGTGAAAAAAGAGTATAATCTTCCAAATGATGCTTCCAATTTTTTTCCTCTGAAGTTGAAACATTTTCTTTGTTCCAAATTAATTATTTTGTGGTGGGGGTGTGTGTTGTGTCTTCATCTTGCTTTTTCCTTTCCCTCCTCTCCTGGTTTAATATTAATCTATTGTATAGATTAAAAGGCATGATGTTCCTGATTTTGCTGCGTTGTGTTTTGTTAGCTGAAAAATATTTCTGGTTAGAGATATTTGGTGTGTATTTCTCTCTTCTTTTAAACTGCTTTCCATGCATATTTCTACATTAATAATTCATCAGATTGAATTCTTTAGGAAGAAATAAAGAATGAGTTAAGTCTGTTTTGTGTGTGACTTTGTTTGGTGGCTTTAACATGAGAATTAAATGTATATCAGAAAATGCTTTTGCTTCCAAGTGCATTCATACGAATACAGTAAGCCTGATGCTAGTTATCATATTGCCACCGAAGTGGCAAGCCAGTGATTTTTAATAATCAGGATTCCCCATGAAGCATTTTCAGTCACAACACTGCTCCCCTTTGGTGTCTGGACTCACTGTGACGAGATAGCTTTTGTTTGCACCCACTGGCTCTTTAACATTGTTGACGTAAGTATGATCCTTGTGCTGGGCTGCATGGGGGTGAAGGTTTTTTCTGTTGAAATACAGAAATTAACAAAAGCTCATCTTCTGTTTTCATATCTACAACTAGTCTCAAGTATCTCTGAGAAGTATTCAAAACAGCAGGATAAGAAGTTGAATGAATAATTATCCTTTCTTTTCCTCCCAACTCTAGAACAAAGAAAGAATTATGCACGAGACAGTGCCAGCAGCATATCCGAAACTTCACAGTATCATGTAGAGGTGAGATGAGTGATAAACCAATTTATGGCTTTCAGTTACGTGCAGTTATTTTTGCCTACATGATTTCTGAGGATACATACAATTGAAGGCATACACATCTTTCAAAACATCCTGCCAGCCCAGGGTCACTTCAGAGTAGATTACACTGAAATGTCTCAAATTCTGTAGCTTTGCCATAACTAGCTGAAATTTTGATGTAGAAGAATGTAAGCAAATTTGTGTGTAGTTTGGCAAATGGACAGGATTTCCCAGTGGGATATCAATTCGACTTGTTATGTTGGCCTGTCTCTGAACCTGGCTTGTTGCAAGGATGAGACAGACCAGAAAAACCCTGTGCTGTTAGCGAGGCGCACTGGATGATATTTAAAATGAATACTTTGATCAGTTATAATCAGCAGAGATGACAAAATATTCAGAAAGAGTTGAGCATTAACCCCTAAAAGGCCCCAATAGTCTACTATGGAGTAGTTAAACAAATATATTCTGCCTGCACAGATTCTTCCCCAGTGTGAAATGCAAAGTATATTATTTCCTGTCTTAAGCTGCTTTGCAGAATTACTGCATGCTGCTGTCATATTTTATCCAGGGCTAGATATGTTTAAAATATTCAGCAAAGTAAGCCTGGGTGCCCATATGTAGCCTGTTAAGCACTTTTGGATGCAGTGCCTCATTCTGTTCTCTTGCTTTGGCACAAACTTTCTCCCACTGACATCAGACCACTGTCATGGGTTAAGCCAAGTCTTGCAAATACCATAGATTGTCAGTTCCTTTTTACTGGGTTTTAAATTAGCTGTAAATTGTGAGATGATATGTAAAAGACTCTTAATTTCAAGTGCTTTTATCCTATGATCAGTTTGCAGATGAATACTTGTGTTGCTTCTAATTGTCTGTCTATCTCTCTTTGGATTCTTCATATTGTTTTTGATACTGTACTGACTTAAAAATTAGTACTTGTATTTGGAGTCTAAGCATTCCCCTGCATGCAGCTGATAGAGTTTGTTTCACTTCTTTTAAATACTTTGATTATGTGCAACTTACATCTAATCTCTTGTCTATCATTACTAAGTGCTGTTACCCTGTAATAGAAGAAAGCACACTTAATTCTTTTTTTATTTTTATTTTTTAAAAGTGATTTAGAAGATAGATGTTCAGGCATAGATTAAAATTGGTTCAGCTTGAATGAGTGACCAGGTCTTCAATAAGAATGTGAAGCTGAATTCATGCCTGGATAAAATGAAATAATTTTATGGATTTTCTTGTATGGTTGGCATGTTGAAGGAGAATTTGTCAAAACCATAATGACAAGGAAGCTAGTTGAGGTAATGTCTGTGATTCTGGAGAACATTCCAAGTTGATGGTGAGCAAAAGTAGTTAGTATACTACACATTTATACTGTGATCTGCATAAAAGAAGTGACTGGCCTGTCCATAAGGTATCCCAGTCAGATTCAAGCCTGTTGCCATCAGCATACTAGCTGCCAGCTCTAGAAGAGGTGAGGACACTCCAGGTCAGGTTGGTGGTGGTGGCGGTACGTTGGCGGAGTGTTTCTGGGAAGCTTCTGCTGATGCTTCCTAGATTCAGCTTGCCAAGAGAGACAGGTTTTCACTCTTCAAGAAAGCTAATTTAATAGTCAGGGTTTAATTCTGGCTTTGCTACCCAGAAGATGTCAGAATATTCCTTCGAGTCTAACCACTTACTGCAGTGAGGAAGTGATAGAGGGTGACAAACAGTGATTTTCAAAAATCAGTTCACTTAAAATGACATTATGGACTAAACAACCTCTCTTATGGCTTATTGGTGGGAGCTATCATAGACAAAGGCATGTTTATTCATGTATAATTTGTATTGCTATTTCCTGGCAATTTGAATACTGACACTGCAGAGCACTAGGGAAAATTACAACTTTTTTTTTTTTTTTTTTTTAAAAATGTACGTTTCACTCACTAGCACTTGACCACCTTTGTTTTGGACCGAAAAGAGGCAATGATTACGGTAGATGATGGAATAAGGAAGCTAAAATTGCTGGATGCCAAAGGCAAAGTGTGGACTCAAGATATGATTCTTCAAGTTGATGACAAAGCTGTCAGTTTGGTGGACTTGGAATCAAAGGTAAGATCTGTGAGTGGCAGTCTAATTTTCAGAGAAAGAGAGAGAAAAAAGGGGCACGGGCAGAAAAATGATGTATGTGAGATTCAGTGTTTTAATTAGCTTATTATCACTTACCCTTTTTAACTCGTGCAGCTTTTCTGAGATCAGGACACTGAGTAAAGGTGGTGTTTTGTGTTTGTTTTTCTTTTCTCTTCCGGCAGAATGAACTGGAGAATTTTCCTTTAAGCACAATTCAGCATTGCCAAGCTGTGATGAATGCATGCAATTACAATTCAGTTCTTGCATTAGTATGTAAAGAACCAACCCAAAACAAGCCTGATTTGCATCTTTTCCAATGTGATGAGATTAAGGTAAGATAGTAATGGAGATCTGCTATGACTTATTTGAATAGGGGAAATGTTATGAATTTGCAAGTACAGTGGATAAAATCAAATTATCGGATTTGCAGAAAATAATTCTGTTCTTTTATTCTTATAAGTATGCTTTAAGTTTTATGCACTTATGATATGGACACTACTTATAGTATGTTAGTAAATGTAGTGTAGTATGTGTTGCAAGAGAGTAGTCCAGTATGTAACCTGAATCCTTAGTTTATGTTCAAATATGTTGTTACTGTAAATATTGATTCTTGGGCTCTGTAGCTGTTCATTTAGGTTTGCAAATGAGTAAAGCACTGGAATATATATAGTTTGCATTCACGCTTCTGAAGTGTTGTAAAGGAGTTTATTTCAAATTTATCCTATAATCTGCAAAGGAGTCAACTGAGCCCTGAGTTTTACCTAGTCTTTCCCTTTTTCCTGCTCTTTTTGTTACTGAACAATTAAACCTTCTGTACATTCTCACCTCTCTGTATCTCTGTTGTGCTGGAGAGATAACGAAAACCAAAATATTACTTGCAGGAGGGGCAAAACAGGGAAAGAAATTGTCTCTTATTTGAACATTTCCTTCTAGCATAAATAAATTTTAATATATTTTGCAATACTTCTTATTTCCATAGTTACATATTTTAATTTCTGTTAGTTACTCTATATAATTGGTATTTCTTTAAATTCCAGTTGATAATTTCATGGGGATTTTTAAATTCCTTTGTAGTAGTTCATATAATTGTCTTAAAACAAGACTGTCAATCACGCTGTACAACTGTTTGGAAATCGGTATAGTGAGAGTGATGTGAAGATGACTGTCTGATTCTGTGATTCATTGAACAGAACTTGCTGTTTCAGTGGAAATTGGGATCCTGTGAGGAGTTCAGATGGCAGCATGTTAAATAACGCAGGGATCTTTTCTGAGGTCTGGTTGGACCCAGATTCCCAAAGTATAGAGGTGGTCTTTTTTCTTCAGACTTTTCCTCTGTGTACAAATAAAAATGCAGAGCACATGAGCATGACTTTAATCCAGGATGCCACTTTTCTTCTGAGGTATTTTTTGAGTCTGTGACCATACCCTAGGTTTTGTTCTTTACCCATGAGACTTGGCTGGTTTTGAAAGGTTAGGTCTTTCTCCCTTGTCTTTTTCATGCTTTTGATTAGAAGTTACCATGAACCCCAGGAGCCTCTGCAATAAAAAATTAGTCAAGATCAGTAATGTTTGGGACATTGAGTATTTTTTAAACAGAAAATTGTTAAATAATAAGTATCAAGAGTATGATTAATGGAATTCTTCTGGGTTTAAGTTCCTCATATCCCCTTAAGCTTTTTCTATTATTTCTTTAACCTTAATTTATCTCTCATCCATATTCTGTAGCGCAATTCATTATAGCTTGAGTCCTTTAATCCCCTTGGATCCTAAATTCAACAAAGTCTTGTGGTCACAGCAGAAGTTACATATTCCTCACAAAAGGTTACATACTTCTCCATGATGAAGGTACTAAGACAGATGTGGACCTTTTAGAGTGAGCCAGACACTGACTGATTTGGGCTTTGACAACCTGTGTAGGAAATTAATTTGTCAGAGCATTCTAAATCTTATGAGAAGCTGTGACCTATTTAACACAAGGTCTATTAAAATAATGCCTTAGATGTGCATCAAAATTTCACTTGTGGGCCACTGGTAGAGGCAGACCACAGTTACAGAGAGGCAGGAACCTACAGTTAGGAAATGTTCTGAAAAATTCATCTTCCGTTACATGGAAGAGAAATTGGAGCTATTGTTATTTCTTAAAGGAAACTGTATCACTACAAGTTACTTTCATGATTCTTTATGCTGCTACTATGTCTTTCCCCTAACATACTTGAGAAAAACAAAATTATGTACACTGTGGGAAAAAATAGCCTATGCAACAATGCTTGACTTGAGATAATTACAGCTGTTCAGACAAATTTGGTATCTAGATGGCATACTCAATTGATGATAATGCTTCAGATTGGAACAATGACAAAAATACCAATTGCCAGACAACAGCATTGTGTGTTTCTTTGTTCTGTTTATGTGTAAAATATTTTATCCTAGAACTTTTAAATAAATAGGATTTGATAAAGTATTCTGAAACCTAAAGATGCCCTAAAAAACGTGCATGAGGAGGTATTTATTTCATATATCTGGATAGTCTAGCTGGTGACTGATGGTTTCTGCTTCTGTGTCTTTAGGCTACCTTTATTCATGAAGATATTGAAAGTGCAATCAGTGACAGCAAAAGTGGGAAACAAAAGAAGAGGCTTGAAACACTGAGGTAAAAATCTAACTTCTTGGCAGTATATAGGATCATCAAACAGTGTTACAGCATTCAGAAGCTTTCCAAGTTTGCCTGCTGTCTTTTGCTCTTTTTTGCTGGTTGGTTATATAATCTACATCCAAGACCACGTGTAGAGGCCTTGCTTTAATAATTATCTCACGTTGTCTCAATTTATAGCATCACTCTTAACTTTCCTGATTCCACGTTAGTGACAGGAACGGCTGAAATCAGTGTGACTTGTCAGAGAATAGCATTGCATGTCTCAGTTCTGCATATGGTTCAAGTAGTTCAGAATTTAAATTAAAAACATAAATGCCCCATAACTCTAAGTAAATAAGATTATGATAAAAAGTTTGGGGATCTAAAGATGTTAAATAAAACATCAACTGAAGATTGAATTATATTCTACCTGCCTGTTTAACGATGCTGAAGATTCCTTGTTTCCCTGGTAGCAAAAGCGTCTCTGTTGGTTGGAAAATGTGGTGGAAAAGAGTCTGTTGGGTTCAGAGAAGATTAATAAAGAAATGAGGGGTAGCCAACATTGCTGCAGAAACTAGGGCACAAAAACATTGGATACTGAATGGTAATGGTGGTAGTTTGTTGAAAAGTTAATATGTAAATGTGTTCTAATAGTGTCTCTCAATGACGCTTAGTTTTGTGGTTTAGATAGAGAAGTATCTGCCAGACAGAAATCTAAGTAAAAGTGTTGACATTATGTGAATGAGTTTATAACAGTCTTAGCTACCTGTTAAATTCTGATGTGCAATTTATGAAGTTTTCCTAGAGTAATGGGCACTCCCATAAAAACAAAACAAAAACTGAACTGTGTCTAACTTTATCTGTGGATTTACAATTAAATAAGTAGACTACAGTTTGTGGGACCATAACGGGTATAAGCACAAAGAAGCAGTCTAGAAGGACACAAACACATTGGATGTGCTGGGAAACTAATGAAATTTGATTGGGAAAAGAGTGTAGGTACATCTAGTGGGGAAAAAAAATCTGAGATATCAGTCTCTGAGGGATGTGAGGCCAAGACATCATGAGTGTGACAGCTTAGTGCTGATTACTTAGTCGTATCATGTACGTGCTGGCATAGGGTCATGGGGAGAGTCCCTGCTGCCTCACATTGCATTATCAAGCTGCTGCAAGGTTATTGACAAGTAGAACTGTGGGACATGTGGAAAAGAGTGCTCAGGAGAGTAAAGGAAGGAAGGGTGAAGGAAATGTTTTTTTTTATTTAAAGACAAATAACACTTGACATTTTGTGTTGGTGTTGAATGCCATGAATGAGATGGGATTATAGAGATGAATTCAAGGTGAAGATCTTGCTTTTAAATAGGGGTGTGGGGAAAGGGTGGGATGTGTCTATGACAGAAATTGTTGGGATTTCTTGTCAGTCAGTATCAAGTTGCAGAATGACTTCAAAGACCTCTTTCCTTATGGTATTTAAAACTAGATTAAGAACTGGGAAACTGTAGTAGGGAACACTTGATATGTTTGTATCAAGACAGGATGAACTGGCCCCTGATATAAAAGGGAAAATCAGCCTGTAAATTTAATTGGTTTTGTTGGTAGGGTTTTAAGAAATGTGTGGTTGACAACCTGTCAAATTTAGGGAATAGATACTCAATTGTGATGACTGAAAGGCAACTTCTAATGAAGTCTTTCACACAAAATAGAAGTCCAGCCATTGAACTGCATGTGGCAGTAAAAATGCCACCTACTAAACTGAAGCCAGTGAGTTTACCTGTGTAAACTGGCAGGTCTATGGCACTGCTTGGGGATTTCCCATGTGGCCAGGTGACGAGGATTTGCTAACCCCATCATGGAGCAGGTTTCCTACTGTGTTTAACATACTTGCACATCATGGTCTTTGAGTACTGCTTCCTTGGCAAATCCACAGTAGAAGAGTCTTTGTGAAGCCTCCTTGTCTGCTTTGATTAAGCACTAGAAAATAGAACCTTTTTCCTTCAAGTGTCACTTCTGGGCTTTTTTCTCTTTCTCTAGAATGATATCCAAAGCTGACAGTGCTATTCCACCGCCGCCGAGGGCGCCTGCCCCTGTGCCACCAGGGACCATCACCCAGGTGGACGTGAGAAGCCGTGTGGCGGCGTGGTCCGCGTGGGCTGCTGAGCAGGGGGAGTGTGAGTATTTCTTGGAACTTGCTGCCACACAGCATGGTGGCAAGCAGCTGTTCAGGACAGTAGGTTTTTATGATGCTCAGTATAACAAAAATAATTTGGAAAGAGCACTTTCATAAAGATTACAGTAACTGAATCCAGACAACAGGAATGGTTTTACAAGGTCACCCCTCTGTCCTCACTGAGAGCAGACAGGATTATTCTTCCAGACTAGTTTGAAATGCCCCAAGCCACTGTTGCCTGATCTGGGGAATAAGACCTGACTGTCATAATCTGACTTGTCATTTACTTGCACGTACCCTTTTTCTGACTTTCTGTTCAGAGCTGCTTTTACTTGTGTTTAGCTGGGTGGGGGTGTGGGCTACCAGTTTTAACCTGGGCTTTTTTGTGAATACAGTAACATTTACAGTAACCAATACTGTCATAACTCTAGTAATTTAATGATGCTCTCTCCATTAATAGGGAGAGCATAGGCCATTGGACAATTAAAAAATAGTCACCTTTTAAACCATGATTATAGAGATCAGCATTATTCATTTATATTTACCTTTATAATGGCCTGCATGGCTAAACTAGTTCGATGTGTGTTTGGTGTGTGTGTGTGTATGTGTGTGTGTGTTTGTTTTCTAAAAGTCTTAACCAAGGAGTGCTTGTAGCATTTCTAATGGATTTGGATGTTTTTCTTTGGTGTTTGGGGTTTTTTTTGTTAATCTCTAATGGAAACATTTTTATTTTGATCAGATTTCTTTGAAAAAAAATGTTCTTTAGACAATAAAGCTCCTTCTGTAAAACAGACTGTATTAAGGTTAAGGTGAGGCCTTTTTTGGTTTGTTTTTTTAATAATAGATACTAAAATTTTAGAATTAGAAGTCATTAACCATGGAGTCTTTATTATTTTTGGTTTATTAAACTATATCACTCAACAAAGTACACAATTATGAAAAAAAAGCAACTAAAAATGTTCAGAGAAATCTCTAATGTTAAGAATGTTTCACCTACTAATGTACAGTATTACATCTGTCTTGATTAAAGCCTAGTTTGTTATTCTGCTTGATTTCTCACTTCAGAAAATTTTCATTAGTGGGTCAAGTGCCTTGCCAGACCACCTGTGGATCTGAGTTCCTGCAGTTCCTTTTCTGGAATGTATTTACTGGATCTTTTCTGAAATGTATTTGCTAAAATCCCACCTGTTAATGTAGTTAATGTACAGTGTAGTTAATGTACAATGTAGTACTTAGAGTGACTTAAAAATGCAAAACTTTGACAAAATATTAACCCATGTTGTTCTCAAATAAAAGTCACTGACTCTGTCTATTGTTATTTGGAAATACCAGGTCTGTCACATCATTACTTCCCATTCTGTGTTGCCAGACTTGGCATCCCTTTTTGCTAATTACCTTTTACGTCAAAATTGTCTTCAAAGTCATGTCTACACTCTTTCTTGCTTATTTTGCAGGAGTAGCTTTCAGCACATTTTGCAAAATGGGATGGTTTCTCATTATGTTGCCTTTATAATCTGCCACTTTCTGCTGTAATTTTTTTTATTTCAATCCTGATACCACCCTTCTGTGGTTAAATTTATTTATACAGTTAAGTTGACTGAAAACATACACCTCATCTTTCTTGTGACACTTGGCAGGATCAGGCATTAGGGCACAAGATTTTCAGGTTGTGTGGAGTCCTTGTAGAGCGAATGGTACAAACAGTTTTATCCGTCTTTTTCTTACAGGAGGATGATTTAAAGCATAAACTGTATAGGAAGTGTTGGTTACTAATTCTGTGTATATGGATGTCTTACTCTCTTCTTCCCTTTCCTGCAGTTGAAAAACATAGACAATACCATGATCATGAAGAAACAGCAGAGATAATGGCAGCCAGGATTGACAGAGATGTTGTAAGTGAGAAACTAGAAGCAC